GATCTGCACATTAATGAATTTTGCGTCCCATATCATGTTTTTTGTGCTCCTCGATTGAACAAAGTGGACTCAGAAAATAAGGGAAATACATCCCACCCGGGGGGAACTCGTGGGAAACTGGTACCCCGGGGGGAAATTGAAATTCCCGGGGGGATTTTGTTTTTTGGTCGAAAACGATCTACCCCGTGGCTAAATCAACGAAACCATGCTTCCAGTCCGAAAAGGTAATGGGGGGGGGGGGGGAATCTGTACTAGGGGGGGGAAACTCCCTAATTTACGGGACTGCTGTGTGCAACACCTGTTTCCCTTCCTTCTGGACGGGGGCACGCGAACACCATTACGACGGAGGTTGCGTCCTTTGCTCTTTGACCAAGTGATTCGTGCGAGGAGGGAGACACACCACAGCGTGGGCGAGAGCGAGCAAGCCAGCGGGCTGTGGGACGTACAGACAGCAGTAGTAGGCTGCCACGCAAGACACCACATTACATACACACGGAGCCAGACAGACATGGACAAAGGGGGAGGGAAACACACACACCACAGCGAGGGCGAGACGGCGGGAGCAGCGTCTGCCCTGTGCATATATACTGCTGGTAGCTATCGGCAGAGGAAGCGAGAGGAGAGATAAACGTCTGGTTGGGTCTATGTCACCGATTCTTGCTAGCAGCCAGCGGCGGCGGCAGTTGACGGCGGCAGCGCCTTCATGATATCTCTCCTTCCTTGGAGAGAGGCACATCACACCAACAACACACAGACAGACGCTGCTGCTACGCACCACCAGTGGTGGTGCAATATGTACTGCTGTACGCCTCTCTACATTTGTGCGCGAGGGACTAGCGTGTCTGGCCACCTCCATCGCACACACTTTTGAGTTGCCAGCTCGAACAAAAAGCAGAGAGAGGCACAGCAAAAAGAGCGAGCTTTTTTTTTCTCCTACCTGCTGATGACGATGAATACCACCCCCCTTTCGACGGTAAATATCATCCCCCCTCTCTGGCTGACGGTAATTACCATCCCCCCTCTCTAGCTGACGGTGGATACTACCCCCCCCTCTCTGGCTGACGGTAAATACCACCCGCCCTCTCTGGCTGATGACGAATACCACCCCCCCCAAGCTCACGGTAAATACCACCCCCCATATCTAGCTGACGGTAAAAACCACCCCTCCCTCTCTGGCTGATGATGAATACCACCCCCCCATAGCTGACGGTAAATACCACCACCCCTCTAGCTGACGGTATATACCACCCCCCGTCTGACGGTAAATACCATCCCCCTCTCTGCCTGACGGTAGTTATCCAGCCCTCCCTCTCTGATGTAAATCACACTGACTGGCTGGCGCCCCCACAACTCAACGTCTTCACTGCTGCTGCTGTCTGTGTCGTAAACAAGATGTGAGCCAATGGTAACAAACGTAACAACGCACGAGCCTACTGCAGGCACTGTTTTTTTCGAAAACAATAAAAAAACTAGGGCAATTGACAAAATGGGGTATACCCGGCGTGTTTCGGCACAAAATGGGGTACAATATCCTTTTTTTCGCTATCCACTGCGCTATCTGCCGTGTGCCTGCTGCACATCAATCTATCACCTCAGTACATTCTGTGTGTGCCGACCATTCGATGGTTCCTCTTGCATTGCGTCCGTAGGGCCAAAATTTCAAAAAAATCGCATATATCTATCTCCTTGCGCATGCACGCGTAGGTTGCTACTGCTGCTGTATGTGTGTACGTATTGTATGAATTTTGTCCTCTCTTCGCGACGTAACTAGCGTACCGAGAGATGATTTGGAGTAGATGTTATTGTTAGTATTGATAACATCACATCAGCTGTTCTGCTTGCTTGTAGTTTTGCATCATCGCCGTTCGTGACGACATCGTGCCAAGACACAACAAGCGGCACTTCAAATTGAAACTTGAAACGAGGGTTTTGGAGTCTGCCTCGTTACGCCATCGTACCAAGATGACACAAACGGCACTTACTTGAAGTAAGAAAACTCAAATGGGGAAGCAGCCGTGGGCACACGGCGATCTATCCACAAGAAGCTTTCAGGAAAAACCGACGCAGTCGTCCAACCCCCCGAGAAGTAAAGCGGTGTGTGTGACAAGGCACCTGTGCTGAAACTTTCAGAGAGGAATCCCCATCTCCCCCTTTTTTTTAACCCTTGAAGGTTGAGAGCGCGCTGTTCGTGTTTCAACTCGACTGCGGCGAACTACAACAAAACGGCCGCACCTTCGACGCCGCTGTATCGCGTTTCTCCAGGAATTCAAGGAAGCCCGGCTGGGGTAACAATGCCGACAGCCCCCATCCTCCTGGCTGCCAGGCGGCGCATCGCATCACGGCGTAGGCCGCGTGTCGAACCTTTACCGAAGCGTGTTCCCCCCGAACGGCGTAAAAAAAAAAAAGAGCATGTTATTAGGGAGACGCACGGGAAGGAGCGAGGAAGAAACGGATGGTGGACAGCAACCGGCGGTAAAAACAGACAAGATAGAAACATGTCCACGATAGCCATTGTCGGTGCGTGTGCATGAAGTACCACGCAACAGCAACAAAGGCGTACCAGAGGCACGCGACCATGGAACTTGTTCGGTCTACTTCTCGGAGTCCCCCTGAAGCTGCTATACTCTAGGGCTCCTCCCCCCCCCCCCTGCTCCAACCTAAGCTATCAACCATCCTGCAAATTCCCCCAGCGAGAACCGGTTGTAGAGGAAGTTATCACCCGCAGAGACGCCCAAGAGGAGGACTCGGCGCCAATGATTTACCTCGGGAACGGGCTGGCGCGCCAGGTCCAAGAGCCAACCGCCCGCCCTCTGATTGGTGTTGCTCTCCGCCAGCCGGGTGAAGAGCATCAAGCAGAGCGTGCTGCTCTCCTTGGCTGCCTCTGCTGCCGCTGTGTTACCCATCACCTGGTCCCCGTCTTCATCGTTACCGGCGGAGGCGGCGGCAGCGGTAGTCGTCGTAGACGACGATGCCGTTGAGGAGGTGTTCGGAGGTCCGAGGACCGATGCGACGGCATGAAGGGCGGCCGCTTTCACCTCAACCTTAACGTAGTCGCGTTGTCGTCGTGGTGCACGGCAGACCGGGTGAATGCGAGCATGGTCAACAGGGTACCGCCATGGTTGATAGGGGGCGACGGGGGGCGCGCAGGGGAGAAGTCATTCCGGGCTTTGCGGTCGCCGTGTATTTTTCGTGCCTTTTGGCCTTCGAGTAGTGCACAAAGAATCACTCACGCAACCTCCTGAACCGGGTTCTCAACATTTAGGAGGAAATGGCTGCCTGATGACGAGTATTTGCACGTCCCATTGAGATAATCCGTGTCCGCGTTGCCCTTCCCAGACGAAGCCGTACTGTTAAGTCTCCGACTTGAGCCAGTTGTACGTTCCGCTCGACACAAAGCGGCAGCGGTACGCGTCCTACCGCTGTCGCGTCAAGACTGACCCCAATGCTGAACCACGTTTCTCCCCGCAGCAGCGGCCGGATCGCGGCTTTTGCCCAAGCACAATAAGCGAGGTCGTGTTTTGAGCGTTACGGCCGTGGGAGGGCAGGGCTATACTTTAGTTCGCACTTGGAAACGTACACGAAGCTGCGTTGGCTTGTGTCCCTGTGTCCGCTCCGCAGCATCCGCTGCTCTCTTCGACCGCAAGTGAGAGTCAAAAACGCCCCTACAGGCAAGTCTTTTTCACCCTCCGAAACCAAGCGCGAAAAATGAACACAACGACGGTAACACCACCGGGCTGCTGTACCGCACACGTCAAGCCTACTAGCAGCAGTCAGCCTTAAGCAACAAAATCTTGAGAGCCTTCCTGCACATAGTCCCCGGAAAATTTCGTTGAAGGATAGCCATTCTGATATAGGGTCGTAGATCGAATATCGCCCCCATCAAAAGTCCGATTCCACAGGTAGAGGCGCGTTTGTCACTGCAAGACCGATCCCATCTTCTCCAAAACGTGGTCGTCGAGATGAGCCAGAGTGCTCGTGGTGTCGCGGTGGTGCTTGGCGGCAGCGATTGAGAGAGAACACCACGCCCCCTACCTTATGTGCCGACAGCGTCAACCAAGCATCTAGCACGCCTTCCGAACCGCGCTCCTGGGAGAGCATCGCCCGCAGGGCCACGTCCGACGCGGCCGCCACCTCGGATGCCGCCCCCAGACCGGCCAGCTGTTACCTCGCGTTGTTGATTGGACGAGAGCGACACCGTCAAGAGAGCGGCCAAGGGCGAACACCGAAAACGGTGGTGGAGTAGAGGCAAGAGCGGTCGATCACCTTGCGTTTCTCATCCTTGATGCGCATATTTCCTTGTGGGGCACGGCCGGGACTGGGTCAGGGTTTGTTGCGGTATGAATGCATGCGGCTGGGGTGAAATCATCAATCGTCCCTGTGCTCGATATCGAGCGCTAGTCGACAGCGGAGCCGTCGAAGGTAACCGCCGTGCCATGACTGTTAACGAGGGTGATTTGATGATGATGATGATGGGCTCGCGTCCGAAAGTAACAAGAACGGAAACACCCTCTGCTCAGGCAGGCAGCCGGCCGTGTCTCTCCTTGGCCGGGACATTCCGAAAAGCAAGACAATCGCACCGCACCATCCTGCGGAATGAGAGACGTTTACCATCGATCCAAGACATCGCTACGCTTCGTGCAACGTGTACAACTCCGACGTTTCCCACAAGGTGATGGGAATTTGGTACGCTATCGATAATTTACGGTAAATCTGCGGACCCGGGTTGAACAATGTTGTTCAGTGCGTTAGAGGTTGTTCCTCCGAATAGAAATATATGAGCCCTGTGGGGGGGGGCGAAAAATTGTGTTCGTACCTTGCCGGCCTCGTCTTGCCCCTCGATATGGACGGTGCAAGCGCGGAGAAAGCCTCCGAGGGACGAAGGGCTACGCTGCTGCCATGCCTGCAGCGACAGGCGTAAAGAGAGCCCAGAGAAAACGATGGGAGAACGCACGGAACCGGCCACCACTTTGAATTTTCATTACGTACAACAACAAGGTGCGGCCGAACCTGTTCAAGGTGGGAAACATGTGGAGAAGTCAATACTCCAAAGCTCTTTCACTGCAGTAGTGGGTAGCACAGTTGGAACGTGTGGACAACAAAACGCACGAGCCAAGCTCTTGATGTTTGCACCTGGGGACACAGGCGTTTATGCACACACCCATCACGCACACATACACACAGCAGAGGCGCCCCGCGCACCAGCAGCCGTTGGAACAATTTTCATTGGCCAGGGGATCTCCCGGTTGACGCTACCTATCTACAGTCAGAGAAAACACGCCCCATGCAAACAACACATCTATCTCACGTCCAAACCAGCATCCGCGGCCCGGGCCAGAACCTTCGCCAGCGTTCGGAGCGCGCTCGCACCGAGCAACGGGTCCGGGGCCTCGGGACTGTCACCCTCCCCTCCCCCCGCCGACACGAGAAGCCTGTCCAGGTGCCCGTTCGCGACGAGGTGGAGCGCGCCGCCGGCCGTCGAGGCCACCTGAAACAGCAACAAGGGGCGGGAGTGTGGTACCTCAAGCATGCAAGAAAGCCGATCCAGGGGTTAAGCATGCAACGCGCGGCAAATGGCGCACACCTGGTCGAGGAGATCCAGCGCGTTTAGCTGAAGAAGCACGTCAGAGGCGTCCTCCGTCAGGTCGGTCACCAGGGACAGAGCGCCCGCATCCACAGCCGCCGCAAACGCCGAGTCGGAGGCCGACATCAACCTGCGGCGTGTCCAACAACAACCCACGCACGCAGGCACATACACACAAAGAGGGCGTCCATTGACTAGAAAATGTTCTAGTTTGTCCGTTTGGCGCTCTTGTCTTTAATTGATCAGCGCGGTATGCAAGAGCGGTCAGGGCCAATGCAAAAAGGCAGATCACACACACACACACCGATGCGCGCACGTGAGCGACGATGCTCAGCATACGCTCGAAGTCGGACTAGGACGGAAAACAAGGTAATCTACTTCATGCCATGGCAAGATCTACCGTTTCTTTCCTTTGTACAACCCAAAAGCAATAATTTGTGGTGATAAATGAATACAAATTATCACTTGCTCAGCTTGGCAGACCTGGTTGCGATATCAGCGAAACGAAGCTTTGGCGTCGCCGCCTGCCGGGCGGTCAGCCCGGCGACCACCTCGCCGATCTGCGACGCGAGGGCTCCCATCACTGCCCGGCGGCAGCCGGTTGCCCTGCCACCGGTCGTCGGAGTAACGGCAGCGCGGCCGTCTGCCTCCTCACACAGAGCCACCAGCGTGTCAGCTACTTGCTGCTCTCCGTGGAGGTGTAGGTCACCGACCGAATAGTGTGCAGTCGCGCCCGCAGGGTGGGTGGAGGCGGAGGGGGCTGGTCAGAGCGGGGTACCGCTCGTTGTTGTTCATGGTTGTGTTTTCAGGCGGGTTGATTCCGTGCGCTAGCCGCTGCTACCCAGTGTACCCCCACAGCGTTCTTCCTGATCTAGTTTACAATATTGAACGAGGTGGTGGAGAGGAAAGACCGGCCCAGTGGCAGATGGCGGCAAATATAAAACCCTCCCGCCATCGCCCTGCACTACTGGAAGACGAGAAAAAACAAATCGGGGCCCCGATCTTCCCTTCTCTTTCCAGACAAAGGCAGCAATCCAAGCAGGCAAAGGAGCCAATTTCTTGCCTGCGACGCGCCGGTGTCGCCGTCTCCGAGCGCAGCCACGAGCGCCGGTAGCAGGGGAGGCTGCAGAAGTGTTCGGCAACGCTCGGCGCGTTCTCGCCCCTCCTCCTCCGATTGCCCCTCCCCGGTGCTGCTGCTGCTGCTGCTGCTGCCAAGACCGAGCGCGCCCATGGCTGTGGCGGTGAGAGTCCTGACGCCGGCGGCCGGGTGACACAACCCCGCCAGGAAAAAGGCCACGAGCTCCGTGCCATTCTGAGCAAGATTTGTCCGTGGCACATGGCGGAAGAGGGAAAAGAGGCGGCGGTGTGGTCGCCACAATAAAAGTTGGTTTGGATTAGGTTGAGGTCACGGGACGTTCCGAAAGATTTGTGCACGCTCAGGCATTCAAAAGGGCTTGTTGTTCCCTTGCGCCTATTTCTCTCTGCTCGAACTTACTGTGATCTCACGGATGTTAACTTCGTGCCCTTGTGCCCCTTGACCTCCACGGCCAGTGACTTTCCCCGCAGTCGGAAGCCGCAAGCACGCACGCGTGTCGTTGCGTCACCTAAGCCCCCGCGCGTCCCTCGTGTCTTTCTCATTGCTGTCTGTCTGTCTGCCTTCCTGCCTCGTCTGCTTCTCTCTCTCTCTCGGTTTCTCTCTCTCTCTCTCTCTCTCTCTCTCTCTCTCTCTTCCTCTGTCTCTCTGTCTCTGTCTCTGTCTCGTCATGTCCCTCTCTAGGCGTTGTCAACGCTACAGTCCTGAATCCAGCCAGCACAGTACTTACGTCAACATGGCGGGCAGCGGGATACAGCGGTACAATAATCACCCTATCAACGAAGCAATGCTCCGCTGTGCGTAAGAGCCAGTCCCCTGGCAGGGAGTTAATGCCACTCGCAACAGTGACCTAATATGTTTCTCTTTGAAAACATACAGCGGCAGGAGCCAGAGCAAAATCATTCCGCAGGCCCACTGGGACATCCAAGTTGCTGAATGCTCGCGCACCTGCTGATATATCTCTGGACCGACCGTAGATCCAAACACGGAGAGTAGCGCCGTCTCCACCGCCCTGCGTTTCACCTCGTCCCCCGCCTGCCCGTAGCTAAAATCCACTGCGAGAAAAAGAAGCCGCGGCTCCACGTCCTTCAGGAGCCCCAGGGCCAGCTTCCTCTCCGTCGCCCCGCCGTCTGCCGTTGTTTCTCTCGACCTCGATGATAGCAGGGCAAGCCTGTACAGATCGAGCCGGCGCCAGAGCTCCTGCGACTGCATCCTCTGCTTCATCTCGGCCTCGCAATTCGCCTCCTTCATATACTTCATGTTCTCAAGCGGACCGCTCATGCCTGTACCACCACGCCGCGCCGAACGCTGCTACAGCGGGCTCCCTATATCCCTGCTGGCTGTGGCTTGCCCGTGGTGCGTCGTGCGGCGATGTCGGACCGAAGTGCGGCGTAACTAAAGAGTGCAATATGGAGTTCTGTAGAAGTTGGATGCTGCCAACGGGAAGCAGGGATTGAAAGCTGCGGCCACCAAGGTTGGCCACTATACCTGCTGTGCGGGTTGTTCCTCTGTTGTGCATACAGCATTGCCGCCGTATGTTGTGTCGCACGCGAGCGGTGCCACTGCTATGGACTGCTGTGGATGTTTGGTGTCCGTCTCCTGTTTTTTTACTTCACGCTTCACACCAAAACCTCGGAAGTTTCAGGAAGAAATACAACCTACCATGCAGTAGTCTGTGACTCTGTGACCACCAGCAGTCGAAAGGGGATGTACATATTGAACTCTAGTTTTTGCCGCGCGGGGGTCGGTGGTTGCAATTGTGGGGAAGAATCTTACTCTTTGCCACGGAGAAATCTGCATACATACCACCTATAACCTATACAATATGCGGATAAGGCGCCCAGACGCAACCCAACTCTAAAAAAAAACGGAGCCACATCATCATCCAATTATTTCTTTCCAATCCAAATCCTCTTCTCAACTCACCCCCTCTTCTGTCAACACCCCAGGCAGTTGCAGGACCACACGGACGGACCCCTCGCGCTCGAAACTCGACCAGCTCACTCCCATATGTTGAGGTCAGTCTTCCGAGCGGCACCAGCTGCTCTATTTCTTTCGGTGCCGGCGTCTTCTTTCTCAGCTCTGTCTACCAAGCCGGTGAGAGCGCACTTGTCGGCAGCAGCAGCGGCAGCAGCCTCTGTCATAATGTGTTTCCTCCTGCTTCTTTATTGTCACTTTCCGCACCAAGTGCAAACACACACAAACAAACCTGCACCCACGCGCCACTTCCCCCGTCTGTCTGAGTTTTGCGGGTCTGTCTACGTCTCTAGCAGTGCAAAACTGACTTGTGTTTCTGTTAAAGCCGTCTCGGTGGCACGGGGGTTGACACGGCTGCTACTTGTAGCTCATCATGATGCCGGCCATCTTTCCTTCTTGCCACATGTTGTTCTTGCTTCCCACTTCTGCGTGCGGAGAAATAAATGCACACCCGGAAGAGAGAAGCGGACACAGAGGGCAGGTGAGAGTTGCAAATTCGTCGCCTCCACGTGCGGGCCAGGCACCGCCGTGCCCCACACTCTAACTCGCAGCAGCACCTCTCTCTTTCCTCCGATGCGCACAGCAACCAGTGCTCGGTTTCCTTTCCTTCCATGTTCACTATTTTTTTTTGCGGAACCGAGAACGGTTTTTTTCTTCTTTTCTTCCATGATTACTCTTTCTGCGGTATTCGTCCCGCTGTGTCTCACGCGCCATGCTGCCCTCTCTGATGGGGGTCGCTCACGTTTATCTTCATCAATCTCACGACAGTCGACCTCCAGCCTTCGCTACCGGCGAAGGTATGCATGTGTTCAATTACAGGCTGAGGACAAGAACCGCGGAGAATTTCTTGCCATCACTATTAAATACTTCAAGTACTACATGGTTATCACAGCACCGGATGATTCATGGTGAAAGCAGCGTTGATTGGTCGCGGCACAACTGAATTCCGGAGATTTCATACAGACATCAAACACGCGGCACTAAATAAATAAATATTTCACACAAGCTGTCTGGTGTGTATTCGGACTCGTCCGTCATAATTCTCTCCGAGTTGTGGACCCATTGATTTCACAACAAAATTGAAGAAGAAGCGCTGTGTGAGGTCATGTATACTTTCTAAAGAAGCACGCGCCTTCCCTGGCACGGTCTTGGATGAAGATACACGTCGTCACTACAATAGAATTGCGAGTAAGACAGAGACCACTGCTACAGGATTGTGAGTAAGACCGAGACCACTGCTACGGTACAGTGTACAAGTAAGTAAGTACACGTCGGGACATCATGTTGTTGGCTGCCGCAATTGGTGGTTCTTCCGCAAACAAACGAGAATGCAGTGCTTAGTGCTTACCTCGCACTATTTACTTGGTACGAACTGCGACAAACTCAGGACGGCGGAGGAGTTGGTGGTCTCCACGTCGGAAAGATGATGATTATACACATGCTACCACCAACTTGAGGGAGTATTATCCACGGACGATGCACTGACCGCACACCAATCAATTCAATCGATCGGTGGTGTGTTGGGGCGAGAGGGCACACATACATAGCGTTGGAGCCAGGATGCATGCATGAAAACTAAGTAGCAAGTGTGAAAGAGCGGCGTCTTTTTTTTTTTGCTTGATGATTTTGTGATGATCAACGATTGATTTCAGTCGTCAGGTCGACGGCGAACCCCGCCCCCCAGGCGTGCCCGAGAAACGCGCACGTATGCGTACCCACCCGTCCGTGTGAACCGGGCCAAATAGCCTTTGTAGTTTCAAACTTCAACTTGGACACGACGGGTGGAACATCAACATCAAGAACAAGATTTTTCTTGTTATAATCTGCTCTGTTCCCGACAGATGAATATTGGGTAAGAGCGCCTTCCGCTCATCGAACACCCTTGTAGCCATATTGGACCCATTAGCATGGACGCAATAATATCTCTCTTCCTCTGAAAATTTCACATCGACACCGCCGCCGTCATGGGGTGTGAGTTGGGCGTAAGGGCTCCTCCTGTTTTTTTTCCACTCGGGGTGTATGTACAGCCTTGGACACGCGGTTTTCGCGACTGTCTTTTCATCACCCTTCCTTGTTCTGGTTATATGTGTGTGTGGGGAACGGTCGTCCCCCCGGTTAAGGGCACACCTGATTTTTTGAAAAAAACGTTGTCCTTAAGCCGGGGAGGTGTCCTTAAGGTTGATACCCATCCTTCATGTTGTACATTCTGCGAGCCACCATGCATGTGAAAAAAGGAAATGTCCGTAACCTCGAGGGAGTTTCCTTCATTTTTGGCGTCCCTAACCGACGCACCACTGCTGTTCGTTCTGGTGTGGCGCCAGCGTGTCGCATGAGTCGTTGCCGGTGGCGAGCGACATGCACAGTACAGCCGTCAGCGCACTTTTTCTCGACGACGCACGGTTTCTACCTGGAGGTCTCTCTCCTGTCGAGAAGGGGGGAAACGTGCCGGCACCGCTGGGCGATGCGATCCATGCCATGACCGATCGTAGAATTGCGCTAAGCAGCGGCCAGCTTTGCAGTGCACATCTTTTTGGTAAAAATCTTGTAGGACGAGCAAACGTAGCGGAGTACTACCAGAAAGAGCAAATAACGGGCAGCGTACACCGAAGCGGAAAGCAGCGGCACTAAATTAGCACACAACAACAACGTTGCGTTGCAGTGAACCCAGCAGTTTCTCTGTCTCTGATGACACTCGTTTCGTTCTGGGCGTGAGTGAGTGGACCTCGCTACTCGCTACGTTGTGAAGAAGATATATATGTCTTTACAACGCACAGGTAACGAAGTGAGGGTTTCGGAACGCGCGCCTGTGGCTTCATTTATTTCCGATGCCGTATGGATGTATGCTCCGCCTTGTTTGTCTCGATCTTTTCTAACGGGGCACTTTTCAAAACAACGTTGTTGCTGTTGTTGATCGTGTATTCTCGTATTCTGTGTCGCAACTTTGCTTGTGGCATGTTTTTTTCTTCGAGCAACAGCAATGACGAGATGTTTCGGCGTCCGGTGCCTTGTACACCTTTTTTTTCGCGTGCGTGCGTGCTTTTTTTCATTGTGGTCCCTTTTTTTTCAGGCAACGCCGGCCAAGATGCCGGACTCCGGAGAAGGCGTTTGCAAGCTGGACGAGTACCGAGGAGCCAACAACTGGAAGGGGCTCATCCCCTCAGTCACGGAGCCCCGTGTCTGGGACGAGGGCTTCCGTTCGTTCCTACTCAAGTGCGTGTGCCTGTAGCAAAAACGGCCCCGTTTGTCCTGCTTTCGTTCGTTTTCTTCTCACGTGCGTGTTACGGGAGCAAATTGGCCGCCTGTCCTGTTTTACCCAGTAGTTCCTCGCTGCTCAAGTGGGTGTGGCGGTAGCAAACAGACGCTTTTCCTGCTTCAAGTAATGTTTCCTGCTCGCATGTGTGTGTGGGCCGGTATGCAGAGCAACAGACGATTCACCTGGTCCAACTAGTGCGTGTGCTGTGCGGTACCAACGGCCTTTCTTCTTCGGGTGCTATTTCCCGCTCAAAAATGAGTACCATATGCCGGTAGCAACGGACGGTTGATTGATGCACTTTCATTTTTGGGAGGTTTCCGACGTACCAAGGAAGTGCTTCCTCGGCGAACGGCGCCGTGAAGGATATATATATTATATGTGTCCAAAAACTTGTGCTCATGTTTCGCGACCTCTCTCTGTCGTTTCTGTCTTGCTCGTACCCCGACTGTCGCCATCTCTTTGTGGGTGTACTGCTGAGCGTGATGACGATCAACTTCTGTTGCTGTGCGCCCCCCCTCCCTTTCTATCGGTGTCGGTCGCCATCCCTCCCCTACAAAAAACGGTCGGTGACGATGATAGGTACGGCATGTTCAACCACGTGGTGTACGACGTGTTCATCAAGGGCGAGGACGACTTCAAGTCCGAAGAAACGGGGCTCCGCGGAAGGTCCCGCTTCGGCGACGACTTCACGGCCTTCTCCGAGAAGGGGCTGAAGTTCAAGTCAGTCAGCCTACCTATCCCTCACCCTTGACCTTTATAATAACTTTTCGGTCCAACTTTTCGGTCCGAGCTGTCGCACGATCTTTTCCTGGCGTCGAGTACTGCTGTGGCACTCTACGGTTCCGTTTTGTCATGTCTACCTCATGCATTCAAAGAGGGTAGTTGTGATGGGTTTTTGGTCGTCGCTGGTCGTTGTCAATCGAGAAGCTGGTAGTATGACGGCGGAGGTTTAGACTTGGTGGTTGGGCAGCTTTTCGCAAGCGAATGACGTCGCCGCCAAGTCGCCCCCGCTGAAAAGCTTTTGGCGCCCCAACCCTGTTGATATTGCTGATGACAGCCAGTCATCTTGAAGTGTCGAACAGTACGGTTGATTGCCTTGCGTGTAGTCCTTCAAACGCCGTCCTTCTTCGTGCTCGATTTTCTGTCCCCGGTTTGTCCTGACATTTCATTGCATTTTTCGTTTCGGAAACTTCGGGGGGGGTGGGGGAATCGCTGGTTTGAATTTCGGGGCGGGCGGGCGACATGTCGGGCGTCAGCTACGTCAACAAGAAGGGAGAGAAGAAGCAGGAGTACGACTTCACCGATGACTACACCATCGTAAGTGTGCGGGATACGCAAGCATGCTTGTTGCGCACACTCGTTTCTGTGTTCAGATTGATCGTCTTCCTTTGTTTTTTTTGTATGCTCGGAGATGTGATGACACAATCATCAATAAAAAATAAATTAAAAATAAATGTTTTCCGCTGGCGCCTGTCGCAGGTGGCCAACCTGGTGTGCAGTCCGGACTCGTTTTTCAGCGCCGAAGACAACTGGTTCGGCTTCATTGGTCTCTCCAAGGACAAGAAAGAGGTGAGTGTGTCTGGGACTTGTTGATGCACTCGTCCTTGGGGATGCGCACCTCAGTGGCGCGACTGTTGCCTGTTCCTTGGAACCAGACTTGTCTGTTGTAAGGCGTTCGTGTGTCCTGGGGCCCTCGACAGATATCAAGGAGTTGGGGGTGAGGGGTTTCACGCGAGTTCGCTTCAAGTGAAGAAGCAATCGATGCGGCATCGGCACGCAGCTGACGAGGAGACACCTCTGCGGTGGTGTGAGTCGAGGGATACCCGTACACGACCATTTTTTGTTAGATGGGCACGACAACACCAAGTTGTAGTGGTCGCATGGACCTACGCATGCAGAACGTGTGGCAATAATGCTTCAGCTCGTTCTTGGTGCTTATCAAAATAGCGCCGGCCCATTTTTTTTTTTTCCATACTTGGACAAAGGATACGACGACAAAGGGAATATATTCGCAAACGTACCCATCGCTCGAACGAGCCCTTTCCGTCGCACAGGTATTCACGTCTACCTCTTCCTCCTCATTCTCCTTTCCGTGGCTGTTTTTCGAAGCAGATGGTCATTGTGTTCCGCGGGACAGAGACCACGAAGGAGTGGATCGAGAACGCCACCCTTTTCATGGAGCAGCTCGACGGCGAGCCCCCGGAGTCCGGCCTCGCCCTCCTCCTCAATCGCGACGTGGGTCAGCTTAGCTTGCCGGGGGCAAACATGTACATGGGTAGCTTGTAACGGCATGTTTGCTTTTGCAGCAAGAATATTGCAGGTTGGCGTACTCATTTATTTGTTGTTTGCATGGAGCGATTCCGACTGGTGGAATGCTCAATGTCAGTCATTCGCACACACCAGTATCTGGGTAACCCTGGGATAGCCTGCGGTATATTGATTTATGCAATCGGATCATTGTACTCACCCACGGGTTGTACACTGAACCCAGGGTGTCCACCCCAACATTGACCAGAAGCTGTTGTCAAGATGAAGCACCGCCTTCTCTCTCCGTCGATACATACAACAACCTGGGGGGCACTCTGGTGTTTTTTTTTAGGAACACAAAATAGTCTTTGTCGCTACAGCTGCGGCAAGTCGAGGTTTTCCTACTCCCAGCATGCAGCGCCAACTCCCACATGTTGTTGTCCTCCCTGTCTCTCGTACAAACCGCGGGGACCATAGTAAAGCACAGGATTGGAGAAAGGCCACGCAAGACCACCACAAAGGTGCAATCACAACCTGGAAGCGTATAAACCAAAGAGCCGCCTGCCTTCGTTCGTTGGTACCCCCCGTGTATGGAAACCGATGTGGCGTACGCGATCATTCTTTTTTTTATTTTACTTTCTCTTTGCGTGCACTCATGTCCGTGCTTTTTTCATGCGGCGACGGCGGCGGCGGCGGCGGCGGCGGCGGCGGCGGCAGACACTCATGGTCCACAGCGGCTTCCAGCAGCTCTACCGGGAGAAAGCGGACCAGTTCCCATCCCCCAAGGACAAGATCTACGAGGTGATCGAGGCCTTCAAGAACGACGACAAGGTTTCCATCGAGAAGGTCACCGTTGTCGGACACAGCCTGGGAGCTGGTAAGTCAAGCCTCAGCGTAACCCATGTTTACATGCCAACGTTTGTCGCCACCATTCGTCTGCTTGAAGATTCTTGGAGGGGCGGGGCGGGGGGGGGTGTCCCTACGCGCGATGTTTGTGTCGCTTGGTCGACGGCAGAAGGGATGGGATGTTTTTTGTTTGCATCATCATGATCGTATTTGCACCACAAGAAAAAATAACCCGAAATTCTACCGAACGGATTTTGGGATACAACGGTCAGCCCTTCAGGTGACTTGGATCCCGATTGACGATCAGTACGGAGTAAACACGAGACCTACAAAAGAAGGTTTGTCAGGGCCAAAAAAATGCGCTGACTAGGTCTAACGGTTTGATTTTGGCTTTTACAACAACGCATCTCAAGCGTTCAGCTCGGGTTGCAAACACACGGCTAAATAGCTTTTGTAGTAGCCGAAACCAAGCCGTAAGACTGTAGTCAGCTCTGACTACTGTAGTCTAATGTCTGGTTTTCGGCTTACATCGGGCTATTATGGTCTGGGCGAAGACGAGGGCGTGAAACCTTACAGTCGAGACACAATAAGGAACGCTGCTTCCCCCACGCACACTGAAGAAAATACATCAAACGTTTATAAAAACGCCTCTCTCGTGATCGAAATATTTATTATTTCGACCATGGTTCCTGTATCGTCCTCGTTTCGGTTGTCGTGTCGTGTTCGCCTATCTATCTATCCGCTGCCTGTTTCCCCGCCGCTCGGAAAGTCTGGGAGGCTGTTCGATTGGGTGGGTGGTGAGGCGGGCGTGGATGTCATGGTCCCCCGCGTTTTGTGTGCGCATCCCTTGAACCCCCCCCCCCCTTCTCCCGACAACAACAACAACAACGAAGACAACGTCCGTCCGACGGCCTCTTTTTTTTTATTGTGTGTGTGTGTGTGTGTTTGCCAACACTTTAGCCATGGCCCAGCACTGCGCGGTCGACCTCGCGCACTCCCGCGTCCTAGGGGACGTTCCCATTCTTGGCCTGGCCTGGGCCGCACCTAAGGGTGGCAACGCTGCCCTAGCAGCCTGGGTGGCGAAGCAGCCTAACCTGCGCATCCTGCGGGTCAGGGTGCCCATCGACTTCGTCACCAACGGTGAGATCTGTCGGTGTCTAGTTTGTTTCCTTTTTTTTTTCGTGGTTTCTCTATGCTTGCTTCCGTTTTTTTTCGTGCTTTTTTATGTATGAATACGCGTATGGCTGTGTGGTGGGCACGGAGTACGGGCTCTTGTGTTTTTGGTTGTGAGGAGAAACAAGTGTGGAATCTGGTTGTTATTCTTGAAGCGTCAAGTATGCGTTTTGTTGTTGTGGGGAAAGAGATACCTACCAGGTAGAAGAGGTGTTGGCTAGCTACTCCAACGTTCGTGTGTTGTTGTGGAGCGATTGTTGGCGAGGTGCACGCCTGGGTATGACCTGTACCAAGGGTGCGTGTTGTGTTGTGTGAGTTGTTTTCCTGAACACATTTTCCCTTGAGTTCATGACACACGCACCCTCCATGCCCACGTGGCGGTAACATTGGCGCGCCAGACTTGCATCGTGCGCCACTGCAGCAGTAGTTGCCACCCCCCTAATCGTCCCCCCGCCGCGATTGTTGGTCGTTTTCTTTGCGTGCTTTGTGCTCATTTCTTGAATGCCGTGATTGATCCCGAAACCCCGCATCAGTCCCGCCTGACTGGATGTGGAGCATCACCACTGGAGGTTACAAGCACATGGGCACGGAGATTACCCTTGACAACACGCACTTGCATAAGGCGGGGGTCGTCAAGAGCGACGGTGGGTTGCCGGAGAGCGGGAGATGAGATAACCCCCGTCAATTCAACCACTTCACGTCCGCGCCTTGCTGTTGCTTTGGGGGCATGATCGACAACAGCAGCAGCAGTAGTAGTAGTTTCACGCTCGACTTGCTTCCCACGCCGCGGTGGGTGGTTCCTGGCAATGTGTTGCTTGTCGTATGTATGTAGTATTCCAGGAAATTGTTATGACCGTGTTTTGTTGTCATTTTTTGTTTAGGCAGATCGTGTCTTTGCTCATTTCAACCTGTCCATCGGGGGCGGATTCTACGTTGTTGTGTGATGCGTGCCGCCTTCCCGTACTCCCTGTTCTCTCCTCCACCCTCTGCTCTCCCACCCCTCATATCGTTCTTTGTCGATCCCGCTCCTCCCCTCCCACTCGCACGGCCCCTCTCGTCCCAACTGGCCACTACCCTTCTTGCGACCGTTCTCCTCTTTGGTTTTGCGACAACGTCGCCGTGTTGAACCTCGAGCGCAGACGGGAACAGCCCCAACCACAACCTTCAACAGTACCTCCACAACATCGACCCCACCAGGGACGTGGCGCTAATGAACAAGGTGGGGGCAGCATCAGATATTTTTCGCTTATTGACTCAGGGGGGGGGGGGGGGCAGCGTTTCCCGCGGCCCTGCCATGAACCCGGGGGTTTTTTTCGGAAGTTTTTTTCAAAACAGGGGCATGGGTGAGCTGTCACAAGCTTCCCGTGCCGACCTATCCTGTTCTCCTTTGTTTTCTGGACTTGTCCTGTGTAGGGCAAGGTGTGAACACCCGTTCGCGGTATCAAATCGTCGTGAGTTTCTGGTTGAACCCCGCGAACCTGTTGGTCCAAGTTAATCCAAAAGCGCAGCTCTCATGCCAGGCAGACCAAGAAGAGAAACAAAATAGTTAGCATATATACCTAGAAAACGTAGCCCAAACGTGCGTCCGTTTTCATTTACATGGGCTTTCCCTGTTGTTGCGTCCCTTCGTCGCTGTCTCCTTCGTCCCTATTCCGCTTGCATTCCCACCCCCCGCTGCCCAACACACACACACACACATCGTCTGACCCTCCTCTCACGTGCTACCCCCGTTCCCCTGTACGCGTTCGGCATCTCTTCCCATTCGTTGGGTCTATCTATCTGTGGTTTCGGGCTCTCGCTGCAGGTTGGCAACGTCATTCCCGACGACTACTGCCGGAAGCACGGTATCTCGCCCTCCTGGCACAGCCTAACCTTCCCGCGCACAGTCTACCGCTAGTGACCCAAGTGCGGCGCTACTGCAACCGACGGCCTTGTACGGCAAGGTCGGTCCCTCTTCGATGATTCGCCGAAACGGGCAACAAGAACTTGACGCTCTCTCCGCTCTTGGGAGATGATAAGTCAAGGCAGGAGGACCACGGAAAGGAATGCGCCGGAGGAACCGAAGACGTGCTTGGTGTCTCTACAGACATTGATGGAAGGGTCCGATTGATAACGTGATATCAGCCGTCGTCGGACTTTTTTCGATCGATAAACCTTCCGTTTATGGCGTCGTCGGCAGGGGACACAACCAACCTTGCCGGTTGGGAGCTACCGCCGCCGCCGTGTTTGGTCGTTACGCAGAAATTGACGGAAGCGGAAGGAGGAGAAATCTTTGCTCGTTTCGTTGCTCATTTCTTCTCTTCCTTTCTGGACCCCCTGTCAGTTTGGTGGTTTATTGCTGACCTTTGCTCATCCTCCGTTTTGTTGCAGCGTGCAACGGTGTTGTTCTGTGGCCTACCGGCCACCACTAACCTTGCGAATCCGTGCATTTTTTTTTAGTGAAGTTTCACCTGTCTGTAAAGTCGTGTCTTTTAAAGTAGTGTGTGTTGTTTTTCCTGAAGCGCTCGGTTGTGCGGAGCATCGTTCGGTTGGAGAGCTACGTACGGTCCCTTTTTTTAGGCTGTGTTTCCATGAAGGGCGCGTTGGCCCGTGGGGCCGTTCCTTCCGTTCCGAGACAAGTTCAGCGTATACCGTTAGAGTTATCCAGCTCATCGTGCGGCATCAGAAAATACCGAAAATACAGTTGCGTAGACTACAGCAGCAGTATTCCGTGTTACGTGCTATTGTATAACAACAGCGGTGTAGGCTTTTCTAGACGGTAAGATGTTGTTCTCATAGAGTTTCAAGAGAAATAGAGGTCACGAGGAAGGGGAGGTCCCGGTACATTAATGACTCCCTCATTGTTTTGGGTACCATGCGTGACATAAAATGAGAGGAGTACCCTTCTCCATAGATCATGTGGACCTCAGGGCGGCGACAACGGAGTCCTTAAGCGTGTAGCGGATTCCCTTGCTTGTTGTTTCGATTCACACAATCGACGAATATAATGTGCCGCTCATGGGGCGGTCGTTATTCTTTTTCCTGGTATTTGTTGATGATATATATATTATATATGCACCTTACGCATGCTGTAGGAGGTGACGTCGTCACTGAAAACATTTCCGGCGCCGTGTATTTTGGTGTTTCGCGTAGTAGGACACGTGCATTGGTGAAAGACGCCCGGAAGGTACCGGCCCCTACCTTTCACCCTTTACCCACACGAAAAAGGGGCGGGTACACTACTACTACTACCGAAGTATATATGGCATGACTGACTGCAGTGCAGTATCTGAGAATCTCATCATCACATGATCACCAGACGCGGGGAACTGCACTGTCCAGCCTGGGACGTTCACAACAGTAGCGGGGGGAGGGGAGCGGACCCCTCCTATGCAGAGCACTTCTATACCAGCCTTTCTTTGTAAAACGCTCAGCCTACTATTAATACTAAGAAGACATCGAGAGACGTTCGTCGACTGTTTTTTTGGTGTGTACCCCCTATCCATCCCTGTTTCAACATTTTTGATGCCAGGGTAGGTACCCCTACCATAGGCATGTCTGCAAGATTTTGGTTTGCGTACCCCCTGGTACTGGGTCCAAGAGGGCTCGCGGAGTCAAATTATGGACGTAACACTGCTAGCCCCCCACCCCCCCCCCCCATTTTTTCGGGTTTTGGAGCTTGATTGTTGTTGTGTTGGAACACCAGGCAGGACACACCCACCCGTGGCCGAGGGTGTGAAAGTTGGACAGCAGCAAGCTATTGTATGTACAGTATCTTCCTTGTGGTTAGGCTGTCTATCTATCTATATGCGTTTTCAAAGAGAGATGATTGATGAGGAAATAAATAACGTTTTCATGAAAGAATGACATAATAATAAATGACTGATCAACAACAAATAGGTAGCAGTAGTTACTTCTACCTGTCTGTAAGTGTTGTATGTAGAGGGTACGAACAAGCGAAGAAAGTGGACAACAGACAGATGCATCAAGTCTACGTAATTTTGGAAGTTTGCTACATACAGTATGTAAATGTGTTGCTGTGTGCTGGTGGTGTGTGTGTGGTAACTTGATGGAATGAATGGAAAAAATGGTAATAGATCATCGGCGGCGACGACAGCAGTTATTATTATTATAGTGTTGTCTCGTATGTATGTATGTATGTATTACCATGCATGCATGCACATCACACAGACAGACAGACAGACAGACAGACAGACACAGCACAGCAGGCTCGACCGAAAGACGCGCCGCACACACAAACTACCTAGACTACTATACTGTAAATTTCTTCTCTTTCTCTTTTGCACTCCATCCAATCTCCGAAACATGATCCGAATCCGCCGCTGCTGGAGTGCTCTCCGGAGTAGACATGGGTCAGGGTACTGTAGTATAGTGCTGTGGTGTGCTTTCTTTGCGGATGGCCAGAATGGGCATGGCTGATGTGCAGCCGTCGTGCTATGGCGCGGCCAAGAGTAGGAGAGGGCTCGGTGCGGGTGTGTGTGAGGGTATGCAAAATATGGAATACTACCCCCCCCCCAAACAAACGGCATATACCTGGTAGGTTATACTGACTCAGCCGCACTACTGGAACACCATTGTAGCTATAATAGTTGAGACACCATATACGGTAGATAACAGCCCCCCCCACCCCCCACCCCCGATCTGGTCCTTAATCCAGTTTGTGGCATACGTCCATTATTTGACTACGCGAGCCCTCTTGCTGGGTCGCACGACTGCAGCTGGCCAGCAGCACACCAAATCATGAGCTGATAGGTAGGGGGAGGGAGAGAGACAAGACACGGAGAGAGCAGGATACTTTCAGCAGACATGGCTAGTAGTAGGCTGGACGATGACGGTCCCAACGAAGAGCTGGAAAGGCAGCACTACATGGAGGTGCGGAACATGTGCGGTGTAACTTGTTTGTTTGTCTCTCGGCCGTGCGTGCAGGAATTCAAACTTCGCGAACACAAATAAGAGGGGGGTAGACTACATACCGGTATGTGTGTAGATGAGGCATGGTAGACTGCTGCATCCGTAGCGATCTAAAAGGAGATGAACAACCACGTGTTTTGCCATCGGCACCGCGAGGGGGAACACTGAAAACGATAGTTGTCCCTTTGCCAGTGGGGTCCTTTGCCAGTGGATAGGATATCAAAACTTGTCGAACCTTCTCGACCGCAAAATCTTGCAACAGGTTGATCAAAAGTACCGACCACGCCGTCGGAAAATAGCGACTACGGCAGTCCCGAAAGAGCCAGCCGCGGGTGCTAGAAACACAGGTTGGTCATCCTATGTATGCACACAGCGCTTGTACGGCTATCCCAGACTCTAACCATGGGTATAAAATAAATACACACACAGAAAGACTACCCATTATCTGTGTGGAGAAGATGAAATAACAATTTGTTCTCTGTTTTCGTTCTACAGCAGTGGTAGAACAAAAGAGAGGGGGAGTGAAAGTAAGGTTCAGCGATTTGATACCTGGCCTTCAGCACAAGTTCAACAAGCCCCCACCGACCTGCGCACACGCCCGATTGTTGTTCGCGTACACCTGCCAACGCTCGCCTGCTGACGCTCGCTTACGCCGTATGCTACGCGCCGCCAACCAAGGACCAACGTCCAACATCTTTTTTTTCTGATGCATGCAGGAATCAATGGAGCTTGTGTCGTAAGTAATAGTAGAATTACACACACACACGCACAATGGATTCATCTCTCTCGATCGACAGATGAGCGCCCGGGATGAATTAGCAATGGATCCTTAATAACGTTAGCGGACACCCTTCCTCTGTTTCTACGACTCCCCAGCAGCATACCGCGATATCTCCTCCATGGGAAAACAGGATGAGTAGGACGGTTTGGCCGCTACCTGTTGCATCTGACTATCTCTATAGCTGAGAAGATGTTCGCATGTTCTGTACAGTATCTTGCACCGTCGAAAAAAGAAACGTTGTATGCATACCGCCGTGTCCAAGAAAGGTAAATAAGTACGTGCCAAGATGTCTGCAACATGGTCTAGAGAACACCCCCACAACTCCTCTCAACATCTTCCTCTACACCTTCTCAGCGTAACATACATGTATGAGTATTCAGACGCACAAGATGGCCGCCAAACTGTCTCGTTGAGACTGTTGTCCACAAGGGGGATGGATATCGCTGGATGCATGCTGCACGGCGAATCGCAGGGACACATCAGGCTGGGCAAAACATATGTCAAGGTTATGAACTCATTGCTGGTCTAACCTGAGACTCTTATCTGTGTAAGACAGTGGACGAGATGAATTTCGTGGGTGTGTGTGTGTTATTTTTTTCTTGCTATGCATACGTGACACAACAAAAATTTAATCTCTACCAGGTATCCACGAAGAGTCCGGGATGCCGCAAGAGGCTGAGAGATTGCACCCCCCCGAGAAGACCGATTGTCAAAGCGCGATTGCTCCACAAGCAAGCTCATGCCAACACCAACTATGGTGGGGTTCAGAAACATGTCATCGAGGGCTTTCCACCGACGTAAAACGGTCTCTTTCTGTACCCCCTTGGTTGTGGAGCAATCGAGCTTTGAAAGTCGGTCTAGAGGGGGTGCCCATCTCTCCGCCTCTTACGGTAAATAAACTAGCAAAATGATACCAAACTGTCTTGTTGACCCTGTTGCCCACGGGGGATATATCACTGTGTGCTGCTCGGGAAATCGTGGAAAAACAGACTTTTCGCTGACGCTATGGATTCATTGCTAATCTATCTCAGACTCTTTTCTTCGATAGAGATGGATTTGTTGGGTCATACTGATGAAAAGAAAAATGAATGCATTATTTTTAGAAAGTAAACAGAACAATCTCACAGAACGACTGCCCGTTCGAGACATAACCCCAGTTGTTTAGCGTCAGTTGGCAATAGTGAAAAGCCAAACTCCTTAGCCTCTGAGTCTACCCCACCGCACGGTGTACACCGCTCGTTACTCAGCAACGCTGACTCGGCGAGCTCCTCTCTCCGAGCGCCATCCAACTTGTACCATGAAGTGACTGAGAAGCAAGGCCTACGGTTTCGCCCTTGTTACTTTCAATGCCAGCAGGTTCGGTACGCTTTCATCGAATACTCCGAGTACATGCGCGAAGAGGTTGATCGAGCCAGGACCAACATGCGGTCATCTGCAGAGGGCAGGCAGCTGGGTGAGGAGTTTTGGGAGCTACATGAGAGGTGAGGCGTAGCTTCGCAGGTCCTGCCGTAATGTACCCTGTGGAACACGGCTCTTGTCCGCGGCCGATGCAGACGCAACCTCTGGTTTTTTCACACATCCTTGGCAACTTGATGAGCCCAAAGGGAGACTACCTTACGACCCCTCCAGCGGGGAGCAACGTGTCACCACCGCTGACTGCTGATTCGACAAAACACCCCGAGCAGGGAGGGGGGGCTAACATGCGCTGTTTTTGAACGTCTGTGAGTTGCGGACAACAAGCGGCGCTGACTTCTCCCCACCCTCACGGCCAGCAACACAGCACCCCCCGCGGTCGCGGCCCCACTGCTGCTGCCTTTTCATGTGCGAAGACAGACGGTATGCACAACGTGGGTGCGCGTGGCTACAACCACGGCTCTGCTTTCTTTCCGGGAAGCTATCCCGATCGTTCGAGAAGCCAAACAGGGCCGCTTTATGCTACCGAGTGCTGCACCACTCCATGCGTAGTTTCTGCTTCTCTTGACGGTAGGTTGCCCGGCATCGAGATCGGGCCTAAGAACAGGGGGTCCGATTCCATAACTGAAAAGCCGTGTGGATGTCGGTACTACGGAGAAACAAATCTGGAACCGTGCATTTGAATGGAAACGCAGAAAGCTGAGGGGGATGCAAGACGGCATCGACAGGAACCAGGCCTTCCTGAACGCCGTGGTAGGGTTCCAAGACAGCTCCAGCCCGTTCCCCCTGGCGGACGGTGAAAAGCGGGTCCCGGGAGACCCGTCGAGGACGACCAAAGCCCAGGTCTCCAAGATCAACACCACCCTGCGGCAGTGCATGAGAGATTGGAGCGGCGAGGGGGAGGAGGAGCGGCGAGAGTCCTACGGCGCCGTCATCGCCGAGCTGGAGAGGCTGCGCCCGGTTGACCCGCGCAGGAGGGGGGCTCAAAAGGTTCTGGTTCCCGGGGCCGGGGAGGGGCGTCTGGCCTACGAAATCGTGTCCCGAGGCTACGGCTGCGCGGGTGCGTGTCATTGTGTAGTGTGCAAGGCGCTCTTCCGGAGTGGACTCTGATCAGAGCAGTGTCATCAAGGCGCGATGCAAGTAAAGCTGCCAGCTGCCATGAGTGACGTTTCTCAAAGCTTATCTTAGACTCTTTTCTTCGATAGAGATGGATTCGTTGGGTCATACTGATGAAATAAAAAAGAAAAGCTGACGCGTTTTTGTACTTGTCGTTTCCCAAAGGTCGAAAAGCTGACGTGCTTTTGTACTTGTCGTTTCCCAAAGCTCGAGGAGATATCACTGTGTGCTGCTCGGGAAATCGTGTAAAAACAGAACTTTCGCTGACGCCATGGATTCAATGCTAACCTATCTTAGACTCTTTTCCTAGATAGAGATGGATTCGTTGGGTCATACTGAGAAAATATCAAAGCTGACTTTTTATTATTCTCGAAGAGTCCAGCGAACCTCAACGAAAAAAAAATATGCACAAATCTGTGATATTGGATAGGTCTCTCATTGTAGTGCGCGAGAACAGTGTTCTCGCGGTCGCCGGCCGCCCCCCTCCCCTCCCGCGCGGTGCCCGTGGGCGTTCTCAAGTGCACCCTTGTTTTTTGTGTCGACCGATCGACGACGAGATTCTCTCGTGCACAACCCAATTTTGTTTTTTAGGCTTTCGTCCTTTTTTGGGGTGCTCGGCAGAGTATACTGTCCACGGGGCCTCCGGGGGGTACGCGGATGAAATGTGTTGATGGACTGCTACATGGCGATGGTGTGGCCTGCTGCATGTCTATCACTCTCTAAACAACCAAGGTCTTGAGTCAACCTTCTTTCTCTTTCGGCCTCCGACGAGCTACCGCACCCAAACAGTCCTCAAGTGCTGTCGGAGAGTTGCGCTATGTAGATATACGTAATAACGAGAAGCGAACACAATCAATTATGCGAGGCAAGAGTGTGCCTTTCTTGGATACCTTTCTCAGGCGCGATAGAGTCCTGCGCCAGTGCTTGCAGCTCGAACACGGGCGGATGTGGATCTCACCCTTCGCCTGCTTCACCCCATGTGTAGTTCATAGGACATGGAATGGTACGGCCGAACGCCTCGCTCGCTGTATCGAACCTCAGCATCTGTGTGACTTTTTTCCGCTCTCACCGCCCGTTTTTACCCTGGCGCAGGCAATGAGTTCAGCTACTTCATGCTCATGGTGTCCAATTTCATCCTCAACGGGGTTGGCGAGGTAAGGGCGGGCCGGCAGCTTCGCGACGAACACAGCGCTTTTGTTGCGCACAAGCCTGAAGAAAAACTCGGGACGTGCCTACTTTCTATTTTCTCCCGCCGATGAAAAGTTGTTGTCGTTTGGCTGTACGGGACCGTTTGTCTTTTTTTTTGCCGCAGGAGAACGAGTTCACCCTGAGCCCCTTCGTCGACAACACGTGCAACACGTTCAGCGTCGAGGACATGCTGAGGTGCGGGCGTGAGTTGGTTGCAACAGCATTGTGGCGGACACACCCACGACCTGTGTTTGCGAAGAGCTCCGCACATACACGGCCAGGGTGTCAAGAGAACTTGGAAAACCCTCAGTGTTGCTGTTTACAGGTCTACTCTGTGCGGTCCGGGTCTGCGAAGAAAACGTACGTTTTAGCACAGACGTAATATGTCGGACATGCCGTGTTCGTGTTGCTCATACATACCCATGCCAACGCCTGTTGCTGAAAACCGCCTTTTGTTGTTGCAGAACAATACGTGTCCCCGATGTCTGTCCACCTTTGACCCTCGCCGGTGAAGCTGACTTGGACTTTTCCTACGTATCTGGAGAGTGGCTAGCCTGCTACGAAGATCAGGTGGGAAAAAAACATACAACGGCACCATATGCATCGGTGCTGCATATGAAGTAGCAGCTGGTGGACATTTTTTACAGCTGGCCGCTCGCGGAGGCCCTTAGGTAGAAGAGCACAACAAAGAGCGAAGGCCATGCATCCTCCGCGCTCCGAGATCCCGCGGCTACCTTGGCAGTGTCTTGGAATCCCACCAAAGTGCGCCAAACCACACGCCGTCATCGAGTCGCGATGTCCGCAGTAGTATCAGTACCACAGTCGGTTACTCTAGCTTGGGTCGGATGCGCCCGTTCTCGTGTCCACATTTGTTTATTTTCATGCGATTCCCGCCCTATCCCCTTCGAACAGTCTTCGAAAAAATCTTCCTCGGCGGTGTTGCACAAGTGTCTGATGCGACGAACGCACTCAGCGCGTTTCAGCTACGGGTAAAGACGACGGGGGTTTTCACCACTTTCATGCGGAAAATCAATTTTCATGAGGAAGATCGATTAGCCTTTTGTTGATCATGCGGAAACGCTTCTTCTCTCGTAACACGCCGTGCATCGCATTTGACAGGCGTCGGCGTTTGATGCCATCGTTACCGTATTTTTCCTGGACACCGCGCCGGTGGTGGTCGAGTACATTGCGGCAATCGCACGGTGGGTGTTGATGCGTTGGTTGCTCCTGACTTCATGCACAACTGCTGTTGTGCGTAAGTTAGTTTTTCATCGCTCGCGCTTGGCGATATCGTAGACTAGGCTCATTTCCATATCCAGCGGTATAATCAACTGGGCGTCGCGATATCCACTCCCACGAGACCCAGGGTACTTTTGGGAAATTAGCTGCCGTCGGGTCTGTTTGCTGATGGGTATGTGAACCACCAATGCTTTATTTGTTGTGAAAGAACGATTGTAACGCCAAGATGGTCGATACAGCACGCGCCGTGATACGAGCACGTTGACCGCCTGAGTCACGTGTTATTCTCGTTCAGCCCATTCAGCTGTACCCTGTGTGACGACACTCGTTTCCGTCCCGTTGAATGCCGCAGTCTTCTCAAAGAAGGAGGGGTGTGGATCAACTTTGGTCCGCTGCTGTACCACTGGTCTGACAGTTCGCTTCGGAAGACAGACGAACGGTTTCAGCGTGAGTCAGCGGCGAATCACCTGTTGTAGCGTGTCTGTTTTGATCGGGTTCAGATCTCTTGCGCTTCTGGTTGCCACCAAACGCACCGCCTTCGCGAGAAATTAACTCTATGAGGAAGTAGAACTGGGAGGGGGTACGCAGACCCTATCCCTGACCCTAACCCTAACCCACCTTCACCATACGATCCATCGTAGAATAGTTACTTTTTTTATGGCGTTGTCCGCTGGCGATCTGTTGTCGAATTGAACATTTGTGTGTGTTTTCTCGAAAGTCAGCGACAAACGACGTTGAAACGCTTGCAGGGTCTCTCCACTTGTAGCCGGGGAGCATCGCAAAATAGCCGGTGAACGAGTCGCTGTCACCCATCCGCCAACATGCTCGTGTTCCCCGCAGGATCCGTCGAGCTCAGCTGGGAAGAAATCCGCATCGTGTGCGCCTGCTACGGGCTAGACATTGTTCGAGAGGAGAGGCAGGACGCTACGTACAACGCCGACCAACGTTCAATGATGAGGACCGCGTACACCGGTATCCTCTGTTCCGCGGTGAAACGGTCCAAGCCGGACGCCAAGGGTTTATCATGAGGATCACGCTGCCATGCAAGAAAATGCTGGGGTTACGACGGCAACGAGGCCCACATCGTGGCAATCAATCCCCACCCCACCGCACGGCAGATCGTTTCGAGGTCCGATGGTGGACAAAAGTGGGATATAGTTTCGGTCAAATTTGGATCGCAAAAGAGAGAAAGTGGGTACAACATGATGGACATGCGTACGTGAGGGTGGATAAAGGAAAATGCGTTCTGATGTTGATGTGTGTGCTTGGTGCAGGATGACGGCATGTAGTACACGCCGCTCCCTTCACCGAAAATCCTGAGACGCCACTCTCTCCTTCCTGATGATGACTGATGATGACGACGGCGTGTGTATTTGTTGTTATCATCATCGACCACGCTATCGGCTTACCAATGAAAAGACGTGTGTGTGCGTGAGTGCGTGTTGCGTTTGTTTGTGTCTCTATTTGTGGTGTGTATTTCTCGGTTGAACTGATAGTAGTATCGACCGCGTCTATCAACCGATCAATGAATAAACTGAAAGGGATGAAAAACAAACGCGGAGTTGGATGCCGTGCTTCTGGTGGAGTAGAAAACTCAGTGTGTGTGTCCTTCCTCCTCTCTCTCTGTGGCCACGAGCTCGCCGCCACCACACCACCACACATCATCGGCACATGCCTGCATCTCAACGATGCTGGATGGCGTTGTTTCGCATCAGGGGGAGGGCGGAAACTCCGTCCTCTGATGGATTTGTGCCCGTTGCCCATGGGGTTGTTTTTGGGCGGGAAGAGTTGATGGTTGGAGGGGGAAACGATTTTGGGAGAGGATCCCGCGGAGAAAATGGTTGATGTATCACTTCTGGAGAACAAGCGGCGTTGCAACAAGTAGCCACGGCCTGCGCGCATTGATTGACCTTTTTTGGATAACAATTCCTCCGCAAATATTTTCCGAGAGATGAACTAATAATACGTAAAGCAGTATGGGAAAATGGGGCTCCGTTGGCAACTTGATACAGAGCCCAGCTGTGCTGGAGCCGCCACGACTAAGCCAAGACTACATACCCTGTAGAAGACTGGTGTGTCATGATCATTTCGTGTGGAATCCTCTGGCAACACACAGAAAAGAAGCAGGAGTTCTTTCTAAAGAAAGAAACAGCGCATGCATGTATGTGCGTTCCCAAGCAAGGGGGTTCGAGACCTCCACCGGTCCAGTGTGGATAGAGATTGCGTCGTTGTGCTGCCGTCGTCCATCTATTCCGAGCCCCAGTCTACACCTGGTAAGGTCCTACCCTTCGGTATGTACATGTACACCAATGATGATATATGTGTTGGACGCCGCACCAGCCAGGGGCCGGGGGGGTCTCACTCAGGAACAACAGAAGTCAGGAACGACAGAAGGAAGCTTCTTGCTACAAGAAAAAGGAGTGGGTGCACATGGCAAAGCGCGCCCCATGGGTGAATCGAATACTTTTCTCGACTTTATACATGTAGATACCTTTCCGGAGTTTCCTACACATACACGCGCGTACGTCTCACGACTTTATGCGATCTTTTCACCTATATTTATTTACGTCCCGACTTTTCCACTTCAAGAGATATTCTAACCAGCAGTCCAGAGCGAGACAGAGAGGGTTACTACAACGCGTTTATTAATTGTAATCACACGCCGTGCGAACGTGCGAACGAGAGCTCTATCTAGAAATCTGAAATCTGCGTACCATCTCATCATGGTTGGCTTTTCGGGAACAACCCGCGGCTCCGCTGAATCGTTTTCGTACGAGTATGGATACGGGGCTCCTTGTATCTGCTTTTGTCAGGCACACTCATCACTACGCACACTAGTCCGCACACACCCGCCGCGAAATTACGGCAGTACAGAACGGTACAGCGAGGCCCACAGCGCATCGGCACTAGTCCACACGTACGACCCGCCGCAAGCGCGCTCGTTGTGCCCTCCTGACGACGTACTATACAGCAGGACAGCGCGGCGGCGAGCGGCAGTGTTGAGCATCATCGTCGACTGAGCGTCCGCCTGCTGCATGGAGCCTCTCCTGAGAGGAGCTGGGAGTAGTCCCGAGCAAGACCATGGTTCGGTCACCAACAACAACAACGGCACATCGGCTGTTGCTGCTGCTGCGATTGTGGAAGCACCACCTTCCTTCAAGGTGCAGGGGAATGGATCCACCTCGCATGATGCCGAGGTGAGTTTGTTTTGCGCTCGCGAGCAGAGTCCATGGTGATGAGTTCTTACACTGATGATTTTTGCGCGCCCGTGGTGCCTTCTTCCCGTTGCAATAATGATCTCGTTCTCACGCAACCTCGGGCGGTTCCAAGTGCCGTGTTCAGAAGTCGTCTCATGTTGCTGGGCTGTACAAGATTGGCGGCGGGCATTAAGACGGTCTTCTAGCGTTACCGTTCACGACACAAACGCGTGTAGGCGGAGGGCACCCTTGCCGTATGCAGGGGTGCGCACCGTGTATGTATGTATGTATGTACAGCGCAGCACGTTCGATGTCTCTCGGAGTGGTGCAGCAGACAAGAGGGCCCTCTCAGTATCTACAGCAGCAGCAGTGCAGGTTGAGTGCCGACGCCGGTAGTCTATTGTGCCGGATTCAGTACTCTGACAAAAGCGCCGTTCCCTCGTTCCCTCTGTAGAGAGCCGGTATGCTGGTGTCGTCCATGCCGACACTGCGCAGGTACCCCACCGTAGAGTTGTGTTGGAATGTTGGAATCAATCCTGTTTTTTTTTTTTTGCGCGCACACACCAGCATCAAATCGGGGTTCGGACCTTTCGCTACGTGCATGGATGTAGATGCAGCCAGCCGGAAATTCACACTTCGGGTTCGTTTACCCGCAGCGCCTTCTATGTAGCTGTGTTGCCCTCCTGTTCGTGCTTCGTCTCTGCTCGCATATAGCGCCAACTGCAAGCGTGTTCTCCGAGCCCTGTCACTCGCTGCACAATGCCACCTGCACGCAGAAAAGCCGTCCGTGCGCTGGATGGATATGTAGTCTACACTTGGAGGGAAACATCCATTTAACCCTTCCGTGGATATGTAGTCTACACTCTGCAGGGAACCATCCATTTTAACCCTTACGTGACTACAGGCCGGTTCAGCTCCGTTCTCAGCTCCGATCACTTTGCGTGCCGAAAGATCGCCGTTGTGCCTCGGCTAAGAGCAAAAAACATACAGAGACCAGCAGGAAGACACAGGCAGTCCACCCCAAAAGCATGCTTATATCAGCAATGCGCACAGGACTCACCTAATAATACAATACTGTTCACCCATGCCTAATCTCTCTGACGTGGGGCAGATATCCTTTCCAGATCCAATCTACTGCCTACCGGCTGCTGTAAGATTCAAACGCAAAATTCCACCGGAGGGTACATACAGCACCCTTAAATACATGTAATCAACCCGGTGCCGCATCCGCGGGGGAGAGCAGAGAAAGCGCACACCGGAGCCGATGCTAACGTACTGCCTCGGTGCTTGATGTTGTTGTGATTGCGGTGCTTGTGGTTCCCAGTATTGGGAGTGAAGGGTGGTTCGTCTGCTGTGTGCAGAATTTCGCTCAAAGGCATGGATTTTCGGGACTACAGCTCCGATCACAGCTCCGATCACAGCTCTCTATTTGTAGTGCAGAAAAGTAAGATATCACGATTTTTATGCATTTTGTGCGATAGTGGATGGTGGTCTCGATTCTCTGATGAGCGGGCCGTTTTTTTCGTCATCTGGCGCCTCTGTGAGACGGTTTCCCGTCAGCGTCTTCGCATCTAGCCCCGCTAGCGCATGCGCTTCCCGTATGTTCTGTCCAAGGATGAGGTGGAGAAGATGTGCCAACAGGTATTGCTTGCACAGGCACATCCTCTGTGCGGACGGTTGCTGTCGGAGACAGGCATGCACACCTGCTCAGAAACTGTGCACTGCTGCTGCTGTACTACAGTCTATTTCTCTCCGCATAGCTGCTACTGCTGTACAGCAGTAGTACTAATGTACTCCTGTTCGTCACCTTGACATATACCGCGTCCCCATCCCTGTGAGCCCCACACATGGACCCACTGCTACACCATCCTTGCCGCCGTGATTTATTGGTGTACACGCATGCTTGGAAGATGTTTGACCGCAGAGAGCCAGCTGTGGGGGGAAAAACAAAAAAAATCAAATTAACCCAGTCACGTAAGGGTTAACACAGACGTACATTTTCAACCGTGCACCAGGAGGCGCACTACGCACATACGCATATCGATGTTGGGCACTGCACTACTGTAGTCGTGAGCTAAAGTTTTTTATGGATGAAGGCGTAATTTATTCGCAGTAAAAAAAGATAGCAAGAACAGAGTTATGCTACATAGCACCCGCTTAAGCCCTCCAGTTTTTGTGGAGGCTGGGGTTCTTGCAGTACTGTAGTTCCTATGTTCCTATGGTCATGCGACGAATGGCCGCTATATTGGATTTAGTGTTGGGGTTCTTATGTAAACTCTTCCCGCCCGAAACAAACCATGGCTGGCACACAGCCCCACCATTCCGTCGGAAAAGCAACCGACAGCAGTTAGTGGCGAGATATGCGGGGTGCACGAGTCACGCTCACAAGGACACGACCGTCCTTGCGTTGCTTCTTCGCGGCGTCAAGGACAACCCCCAAAAACAGCAGGACAACGTGTCATGGGGAGGTCAACCGGATAATAATCACTACAGTAGGTGTCCCGATAAAGTGCCGGTTGAATAGTGCCAAAGTCCGGTATAGTGCCGGTAAATTTTCTTGACACAGACACAGGCCTGAATAGTGCCAAACCGGCACTGTTGAGGGTGCCCGCTATAGTGCCGGTTCAGGCACCATCCAACCCCTTAATAGTGCCGGTTCACACCCCACACACGGCCTTTTTTCGCCTCAAGTCTTCGACGCCAACAGGATTCGGAGACGGTTTCCCTTCGAGCTACAAGTATAGTTCTCGGTTTCTCTCGGTACGCGTGACGTCTTCAAATGTCACGGTTTACCGATCGACCAGGTTCCACCAATAGGCTCGGATTTCAGTACTGAGGCGAGCGAAAAGGAAGATGGTGGTAGTGACAAAGGATGTGGAAAATATAGCCAAGGGTAGCAGTGATGATGCAGGAGGAAAATATGGCGTTGAGGGGAACAACAAGAGTTTCGAGCGAGATGACCTTCCTCACAACGAACGCCGCAGGGGCGCAGAATCTAGAGATGAAAGCCCGAAAATAGTGGAAAAATATTAGTGAGGCTGAGTCTTACGGCGTGATTATTTTGGAATTTTTTTTTGTTCTCTCGGTCGGGGGGGGGTGGCCTGCACGGAAAAAATTATCAAGATCCAAACGACCGTCTTACGGTTCCTCGAGGTATACTTTTTTCTGAAGGAATATCGCTGTTAGAAATGGGGGGGGGGGTACCCCCTGGTCACACCCCGATCGTGCCAGAACGAGGAACTACACCGTCTGCTGGCCAAACAGAGGCCAGTATCATGAGGTCATGCACAAACCCTCTGCAGGTACCTAAAATTCAGGGCGTTCTGCGTCGTGTTGGCCGCACACGAGCCGAAAACGTCAACCCTGCCACATTGCTCTGCTGACGTTCTTGCCTTTGGCCCGAAAAGAGCCGTTTTTGCGCCTGCTGCATGTGTGACCAGTTCAAAACGCATGCCAGAGAGAGGCCTTAAGCCGTCGACATCCACAAACTGCAGCCAATGGCGTGTGTTCATACTCATACCCTCTGCTCGCGTACCAGAAACAGAGCGTGTTGTCCAGTTTTGATTGCACACGGCCTGCAAACGTGAATCGAGGTGTGGTTCGGTGTTGCCTTTTTTGGACGTTGCTTTTTTTTCTGCCGCTTGCTCCGAGTCGAGTGTGATCAGTGTACAACGCATGCCATCAGAGAGAGGCCTTTGGCCGACGACATCCACAAACTGCAGCCACTGGCGTGCGATGATACACATGCCCTCTGCAGGCGACCCATAAACAGGGCGCTTGGTGTCTTGTTGGTCGCACACGAGCCCAAACCGTGTACTGAAGCATGTTGTGACTCACAAGAACATGAATCAGCCTCTTTTTTCCAACAGGATCGCTGTTGGAAAATGGGCCAATTTTCTAACAGGCCGGCCGGAATCGCTGTTGGAAACTCCGCTGTTGGATTTCGGACTGTTGGAAATTGCCATTTTCCTGCCCGTAAGACGCCCAAATTGTTTTTTTGGCTCAGAAAAGGACCCCCCCCCAAATCCAATCCGGATATAATCACGCCGTAAGACTCAGCCTAAATCATTTCGGTCGCAGATAACCAAAATCTATAGCTACAGATCGATTTGTCCTTGTTCCGATTTTTTTAATCTATTGACATCTGCACAGATGGATCCAACACATGTCTGCCTCTCTTTGATCTATAATCCATAGATCAGCTGAGATATTCCGATTCTTGATCTAAAGACTAAGGACATGGGTAGATCCGAACAAGAATGCCGCTACTTGATCTGTAATCCATAGATCATCTGTGATATTTTCGATTCTTGATGTATAGACACAGATATAGATCCGAAAACGAAAAGGGCCAGCAGAGACAGCAAATGCATCGCTCGTGGGGGGTTGGTACGATGGTGCAGTGACTGGTTTGCTTTCTTCCCTCGCCGTCTCATCCGTCTGCTTCCCCCCTCCCGCCGCATTGGTTGTTGCCATGTCCGTGCTGCTGCCGGGCTTGTTTCGTTTGAACGCTCGTTGCCGGCTAGCCTCCTCTTCATCGTTGCGCCAGGAGATCATGAACCTCGTACCTCCCTGCAGTACCCCCGTGCAACCCCGCTACACCTTCGCTGCTTCCGTCCAAGTTGTTTGAGGGACTCCGAAGACACATGACCCGGCCTCCGTATGTAGAGATCCGTGCTTTGCCTCGAAGATATTGAGGTCGTCCTTCAGGCATGTCTGCCAGTCTTGCTCCGTTGGCCATCCCCCCCCACCAGCTCGCCAAGCATGAACCGTTTCGGGAGTGGCCCGTCTGGTTGCCTTGCCAATGCTCCCGCGAACAGAAGGCGCCGTTGCCGAACAGTTTGCTTCCACGCTCTGGCACCCTAGCCCTCTTCAGGGTCTGGGCGTAGGAAAGTTGCCGGTAGGTGCCCTCCTTGCATTGGTAACCGATAACTCGAAGGAGCAGCCTGTGATGTATCCCATCGCAACAGCCAGTGGTGTTAGCGACGTGGGGCCCATGTGATGCAACCGTACAGCAGTGCCTCCGTCGCCTCCCCCTGGAGCAGGCGAGTCTTGAGTCGGAACGGTGCTCTCGGCCTGTCGAAGAGCTCCCGGCCGTATCTCCTGACGCACGCCAACGCCATTCCGCTCCGGTAGTTTATCTCCCCGGTGAGGTCGCCATGTTCGTGACGAGGCCGCCTAGGTACCGGAACTCAGCCGTCTGGGCGTACCTCAACCCTGCTGCTTCGATGATGAACGGTGGCGGCGGGGGGAGCGGTGGTGTTGGCTGCTTCTCCTTGACGCGCATCAGGAGCATCTCTGTCTTCTTCTCCGACACGGTCAGCCCGAACTCCCCGAACACCTCCACGATGATGGCCATCAGTTGAACAGCAGTGGGTACAGCACGCACACCCTTGTCGTAGACCTTGTGTGACCCAGAACCAGTCCGAAAACTCTCCGTCTTCTATGCGCACCCAAGCTCGTATTCCGTCGTGGAAATGGCGGATGACGGCGATCATCTCCTCAGGAATCCCAGCCCTGGCCAGCACCTTCCACAGCAACTCTTGGTCCGCCGAATCATACGCCTTCTTCAGGTCGAAGAAGCACATGTAGAGCGGTATTTTCCTTCTCCGCCCCAGCTCCTGGAGTCAGCGCACGACGAACAGCATGTCGATGGTGGATCGCCTACTGTACGTCGGAACCCGCACTGCTCCTCCGGGAGGATGTTGTTGGCTTCGCGGAAGGTGCTTAGGCGGTTGATGATCTTGACGGGGGCCTTGCCTACGTGAGACAGCAGCGAAACCCGTAGTTGTTGCAGTTGGACCGGTCACCCTTCTTGTACAACACCGTGATGGTTGTGTCCTTCCACTCTTGGGAGATCTCTCCTCCGTTCCACACCTTACCAAGGACAGCATGGAGGTGCTCCAGGACGATGGGTTGTCGTCATCGTCGTCGATCTTGTGCAACTCTGCAGGGAGGGAAATCATTGCCGGGTGCCTTCCAGTTCTGCAGGCCTTTCGTTGCCCGTTCCACCTCCTTGAGGTCTGGCGCCGCTCCCAACCGTCGAGTGGCACGTGTCGCCGCTCGTTGTGTCGCTTGTTCGATGATGTCTGGGTTCAGGGTGGGGGACTCAGTGTTGAGGAGGGTGCCGAAGAATCTCGCCCATTGCTGCAGGATGGCGTTTTTGCCCGGGAGCAGCACGCCATTCTCGTCCGCAACGAACTGCTATCCTCCCACTTGTCTCCCACGGAGCCCCAGCGATCTCTTAAGGTGTTGGTAGAGTCCTCTCATGTCGCGGTCCATGTAGATCGCTTCGCGTTCTGTCACATATCTGTCCATGTGGGCATGTATGCTCGTTTCGACTGCTGCAGCCCCCTCCCTTGCAAGCTGCTTTGTGAGCCCTCCGCGTTGTTGTGCGTTCCATTTGCCCTTCATCGCTCGGCGCGCTTCCCGCCGCTTGGTAACGGCCTCCTCCAACGCTGCCCTTGTCTCTGGGGTCTCACACCACTCCTGCGTGCGTCGTCTCCGCGGTTTCTCGGGTACTCTCGCCCTCGCCGCTTCGAGGAGACCATCGGTGAACTCGGTGGCCTTCTCCGGGGTGGTGGTCGCTCGTTCGCCCTGGCGTTGTTCATAGTTTGAGGGGGAACCGCTCAGTCACCGCGCATCGCGTTGCTTCGACCTGCAACTCCCGTCGGTTGAACGGCTTCTGTTTCGGTTTGGTCCAAGCTGAGGCATGCAAAACATTAGTACCCCCCCCCCCCCGAATCTAAAAGCAGTTTCACGCTGACAACGTTTCGCAAAAATTGATCCGTACGTATACTGTAGGTGAGCCCCACGCTCGATGACAAGGCGTCGCTGGTGATAGTGATGTGCGTGGTGTTTCTTGGCGACACTGCCCGCGGCATCTTCTTCCCCACCCTGTGGAAGTACGTGCAGGCCATGGGAGGCGACCGCATCACGCTGGGGTACAGCGTGGGAGCGTTCAGCCTCGGCAGGCAAGTGGCGTGCGTGAGAACAACCTCCTTATCTTTCCGCGTCCAATATTGTAAGCCTGTCTATGTAGGAAGAACAGCAGTGATGATGAGCAGGCACCGTGGCTTTCTACCGGCGAATTCGAGTGTTTTGTTCAACGAGTATTGCTGTGATGGGTTGGTTAGCCTGTTTGCCTTTCTTCGTGTGGAGAAAGGTACACCTCGTGTCTACCGAGCCTGAAAATGGTTCACGTTGTAGGTTTTGGTGTGCTGCTGTTGTACGTAGCTTCCTTTTGGGGGGGTTGCACCGTGTGCTAGTAGCGTTATTGGTGGCGTAGAAAATACGCGCCCAGCCACCGGGGGGGGGGGGGGAGGGGGGGATGTGACTTCCTTGATAACATTTTGGTCTCGTGTACGGCCCGGTCCGTTTGTGCTGTCGTGGCCTGTCTTTTGGTTGTCTTCAATAACAGCAAGGGCACGCTGGCAGCCTTAGTCCAACGAAGACGTGAGGTTCCCTCGGTAGGAAGTTTTGCGTTTTCGTTGGAGGCTAAGAGATACCACAAGAGACGCCTTGCACCGTCACCGATGGGGAAAACTAGCCCGCGACAATCCGCCGACCCGCACAACGAAAAGCACAACATTGCCCCCCCCTCAATCCAAAGGCACAATCGTACCGCCGACCTCTATTAACCCCAGCACCCGCTGCGTCTTTCCGGCTGTCCGTCTGTCTGTCTGTCTGTCTCCCTCTCTCTCCCTCTCTCTCCCTCTCTCCTCTCACTCTCTTGTATGTCGCTCTCCCTCGCAACAATCTGTGCAAACAATATTAACAAAAATCAGAGTGATGATCTCTCCGTACTTCGGAGGCCTCTCCACGAAGCACGGCTACCGGAAGGTGCTCATGGTGGCCAGCGGGGTCATCGCCCTGGGAGCCCTCGCCTACGCCCTAGCCTGGACCACCGCGGCCCTGATCGGCGCGCAGATAATCATGGGGGTGGGGTCGGGGACGCTGGGGGTTACCCGCGCCTACGTCGCCGACAAGTCGACGCCGGAACAGAGGACTTACCTTCTGGCGTACACGACGTGAGGAAGGGACGACGCCTTGTCCATGCGTGGAAACCTGTGCAAGCGTATTGTGTAGTGTATGTATGGTTCATGTTTTCATGAGTTTATTCGCGGCGAGAGGAAGAGTTGTGCGGTCGGTGCCTCCCCCACGTCACGTGTGTGATAGCAGCACCAGCAGCACCAGCGGCACCGGCAGTAGAGTGCTCTTCGTGTATGTTGCGGGGACTAGCGAGGGTCTGGTCGTTTCTCTGGGTGGACAAGAGAGAGTGCAGCTTCGTTTGCGCAACAATTACTTCAGTAGATACATTGTTGAGCAACTAGATTGGACAAGAAGAGCGAGCAGCTTTCGTTTGTGCAATATGATAGATGTTTTGGAGCAACCACAAATACATACCTTCGCATCGAGGAAATGGCCGCAGGATAGTCTAGACCTCTTTTCTGGTGTCCAACAACCCCCCTCCTGTATTTGGGGCAAGAGGCATCATCACAGCAGTTCTGGCCCGTTTCTCCCATCCGCGGAACCCCTCACGAACAAGTGACCAACAGAAGCAATCGTTTTTTTCTCATCCATCTCCGCTTTTTTTTTGTCGTGTGTTTTTTTTTCGCCGCTGCTTCTCGTGACGACGGCGGCACGCCCCCCCCCCCCCCCCCCCCCCCAAACCCCCAGGGGGGGGGAAAACCGGGGGTTAACGGGGGGGCCTTTGAGGGGGGGTTTCTTATGATTCCGGGCAAA